CCTCAACTTCAGACAGCTTGAAAGTAGAGGGGTCAAGAAGCCAAGCACAGCTGGTACAAAACCTGGGCTCCAATAAGCACTTTAAGCATGCTAAGTAAACACATTTTAAATGCCTACACAAGAAGCAGGTGTGCAAATTATTCTTGGTACAGACAGAAGTCATGTTCTCAGTATCCCCTCAACCACTCTTAAACAACAGCCTCACCTCAATCCCCAGTATTTGGCAGCTCGTAAAAGCATTATAAGTGCAGAAAAGTTCCTTTTTCTGCTGCTCATTCATTCCCACCTAGCCCTTGAATCATAACTCTCCATTACTGCTCTTTTTAATCCATTACAACATAACTGAAACATTTTCCCTTTGTACCCAACCAAGACTAATGATAGCTGTACAATATGTAGGCTTACAAGGATCAACTATGGGAGAAGGGATTTTTCTGGATCATACAATTTGCATTCAACAATGCTACAAAGGCAAAGTATGAAATGCACAGAAAGAAATAGGAGCTCATAGCAGATTTCAGTGGCAGCACATGAATGGTCCCCCTTTCATGAGAATACCCCTCCCCAAAGGGATGGCTCCCAACGCTCACATATTTTTCCTCATTAATTTGCACACCTGCCCTAGACCTCCTTGTGACCCAAGTAATTGTGTGCTTTATGGTCCTCATTAACTTGTACACCTGTCTTGAATTTGGACTTGAGAAACACATGGGTTGCTTGTACAATAAATTTTCTCATGGAAAACCACTACATTCTTATATTAAAAGTAATCATTTTAATCCCTGAAGTGATATTCTCTCCTTATCGACATTTTTGTGGAGCTGCCAAAGTCAGACATTATGAGCTTGATGTTTAGCCAGATTTCCATCTATCCTTTGTTTCCACAATGGAATTATGTAATTGTGCCTTGGGGGGGGGGGGTTGTCCCAAACAGCTTTTCATACAATCTAACAGAGCAAAGAAATGCCATCAATAAGCATTTAGTTTTCATTACATTAACAAAGGATAATTGTTAAAATGGCATAAATACAATAGTATTGAAGAACATGTATTCCGTGAATCTGAAGTAAGATGAAGGCTAGGAAAATCATCATATAAAGCCCAAAGGATCAATCTGGGTACAAAGTTATGGGCTGTTCCATTCATTCATGAATTGCAAACATCCATGTGTACACACATACATCTACAAATAAGACTGTTGCAAAATATTATCCCACTTCAAGCAGCCCTTTAAGCAGGCTGTGAAAATGGCTGATCCCCATTTTGTCAACTATTGGCTACTGATCTATTTCCAGGAGACTTTTTTCAAAGACTTACAGGAAGCATGCTGACTGTTGGCAGACACTCTCTCTTTTTTTAGTCCTCCCCTCCTCTGTTGGTGTGGCTGTCTGTGGCAGTGGTGGCACTCTGTGAGGGTCAGCAGGACTCCCTCAAATGTCTGAAAGTGTCCATGGAATTATGCTAAGACAAGCTGTTCTATTCTGACCCAGTTCTTAGGGGAAATGGCAGAACATGATATTTCCTAGGAACCTTAATTCCCAATAAGTGTATAGCAGATGCTAACCAATCTTACCATTGGCTAGCTACCTTTATTGGCCTCTGTTGGCGAAGCTGCAGGACCCGGTAAGCAAGACTATCTGGCATAGACCACAGACCATGCTTTAGTTATTTGGTGCAAAGAATGAGTTTTCCAGAAAGATTGGGAAGTTAAGAAAGTGTTCATACATACTACTTCAGACATACTACCAACATACAAAATTCCAAAGTGGTGTTGAAATCCTTTGATTCCCTCCCTCCCCCATTTAGAATTGTTGCTGGAAAAAGTTGAACCCAATCAAGGAGCATAAATGTTAGAGGAATTGTGTTAGGTCTTGTACTCACTCTGCATCTTCAAGACTGAACTTGGATCATGTGGTACCTTCCTGAGTAGCATCCATTTGGCCAATGAGGCCGACTCAGAGGAAAGATCCGACTGGCTGTAATTAATGATGTAATCATTGCAGATTGATCAGTAAAACAAATTCCAAACTCTAACAACATGAATTGTGTGCACGTGTTGCTTGGCAACCCCTTCTTTACCTAAATCTAGATAACAAATTGGCATCCGACAGGAATATGAAAGAGAGGACACAAGCGGAAATTGGTTACTGATCCATTTAATCTCTATGAGAAGGTCACAATTTTTCTTCAGGATGATGCCCACTTAGTATGAGTATGAAAAGATTTTAGTTACATTTTAGCAGGAGTTGAATGGAAAGGCTGAGGACGGAAGAAAAGAAACGGATCAGAATAAAGACAGAAACAAGGGGCATTGCAAGGATGGTAATATAAATAGATTTAAAGTATCAAAAAAATGGAAGATGTCCAAATGGAAGTCTATCTTCTGAACGAGAGAAATCAGAAGGGTGAGGCCATACGGATGGTTGACCAGCAATGCAGCAAAGAAGCAAATCCAAGACAAGAATAATTGCATCCATAATGCAATGGAGGGAGCTGGAGCACTTTAAGTAGTATCGTTAAATGTGATGAGGACTTCCCAGATGCAGGGCAGGAAAGCTTGATTCAGACACCACATGGGCTTCTCAGAATGCTCCTGACATGTGTTTCCCATGAACATGACATACTCACCCCAGAGCCTGGGTAGTGATTTAGGACACAAGTATACATACTACAAAACGCACAGAGCAGAGTGCAGTCACACATGCTGATTGCTTTTCTAGCTTTTCTTTTCTGAGAAAACTGACCATATTCCTTGAGATATAGGAGCATTTGCTCATGTGTTACACTCTTTCAACCACAGATGGCAAGTAGGCAGGCAGAACTTTTGAGGGACCACTTTCTTACATACAAATTGGCTGGTCATTTTGTGGAACTGTGGAGCACATGGTTTCAATCACATCTTCTTTAGAAGGGTAAATCGGCTGAGGTTGAACAACAATGCCAGTAGCACCCAGCTCGTGGAACCCCTTCATTTTGCTTCCTCACTTTCAGGCTTTCAAGTATTTTTCTAAGACATTTTTATTTCACTGAGCTTTTGTTCTAACATTATTGTCCCTCCCCTACCTACATGCCCACACACTCACATACACACTTCCTGATTGTGTTAGTGCTTTCTTCTCTTCTTACTTTTATTTAATTATCATTTACTGTGCGTTTATGGGTACCAATTTGGAGATCACTTGACAAGCCAAAAAGCATACAAATAACTTTTCTAATAAATGAAGAAATAAACCTTGACCTAGAAGGAAGGCAGCTTCTCTGTTGTATACCTGGTGCCATTCACAAAAGGGAGTGTGTTTCCCTTCTGTGATTTCCCACAACAAAGGTAGTTTTTCACATATGTTTCTTCTGTATGTCTAGCAGCTCTTGGAAAAATATGTTTCTGAAATGCAATTTCTTCAAGTGATCCCCCAGCTCCAATAAGCTTACTGCACAGCTATATACTTGAGCAAATTTCATAAGGCTTAAGCAGGAAATATTCTGAAAATAATTTAAAGAAACAAACCCAGTTTGTATGATCTTGCAGCCAATTTTTGGTTTATTTAAAGGTTGTTTCACCCTCAAATAAGCCATTTCACCCGGCTTTGGATGGCACTACAAGCTACACTCAGGTGATTAATCGACACCTTGCATGGACCACAGTTTAAAGAAACTACCATGTCTTTTTTAAGCTGCAATTACCATGAAAATAGGGCCACTATAAACATCTGATGAATATCTATTGTACATGGTCAATGAATTAGCATTAAATGCTGTAATAATTTTTATGAGGTCCATCAGCTCAGCTCATCTAACTCTAGCTATCAAAACAAACTCACCACACGAATTTCTATTAAATGATAATGAAAATGTAACAGACAGTTCAAGCATAGCAGCATACAAAAATATTACTATTAAATAATAAATTACCACTAAACTCTTATGATATTAACCACTGGGCAGAACACAGTAATGGCACCATCTCTGCTCAACTGTATTACTGTCAGTAATTAATCATTGGCAATAGAAGAGCAGGAGAAGTGAGTCTATGGTCTACTTTTGTTTAGCTGAAGCATTCACACTGATTTCTGCTTTTGTGGCAATTTCACTTGTCCATCTATCCACACTCATTCATTATATAAGGCACTAGATACTAGACAACTATACATGTTCTACTCATGAAACTGCAAAAGATTTTTCAGTGAAACTTATAGAAGTACCTTACTGGTTAGAAAGAAGACTATATGAAAAAGCAAAACTACAGAATTACAAAGGAAAATTATACACAGCCAGATATCCAATATGCTAGTTTGTCTAACAGTGTTTCTATCTAACATCAAAACATAAAGTCACTGATGAGTGAGAAACATATGCCTCCTCTCAGATCTTTTTTCAGTTGACACATTACCCTCGTCTCTTAGCACAGAAAAAATTATCATATAATTTATTACGTTAGTGGCAGTTGATGCCTCTGGATTAAAGCTGCACAGACAGTGCCCTCAGCTAAAACTCAAAAACCAAAACAAAGCAATGGGTGTTATGATTATAACCTGCCAAATTCACACAGTATCCCTTTCTTTCCCCAGATTTGATAGTACCCATTCATGTAAGCAAAAGAAAGAACCTGTACTTTGTTTAGCTGATAGCACTGCAGATGCCATTGTTAATAGCTACAGATTAATGAAATGTTAACACGCTCCAATGCTACGTTCAAGAGTAGTAACGCATGATGTGGAAGCCATGGAATTAAAATGCCTTGTTCCACATATAATGGATGTCAATTCAATGATTTGATAACATCATACAGGAAGCTCTGGTTACTGTTGCATCCACCTCTATCAATCCTGATAATTCACTCCTCTGTATAGCCTATAATTAATAGTAATACCTAATTAGCTATCAATTATTTACAGCATACAAAGAATAAGAAATGCTTTAAAAGTTAAAGAATAGTTCAAAACACATGTGCTTTGACCAAATGCCCATAATTTTGGGTATCTAGCCTGGGAAGCAAGACTTACCTGTATCATTGCCTGCGATACTAACAACAATTACTTTTATGTCAGCTTTGTTTTCAAACCCTACTTCATCTGAAGTAGGAGGCTTTTCTTGGGACTCTAACACCTCCGTGGGTGATCCTGTTGGCTGTGCAACTGCAGTAACACTGGATGATGTAAAATATTCTGTATCAATTTCTGGCTCTGCCTTCTTGCCTGCAAAATCATCATCAGTGGTGGTTTTAATGGGAGAAATGGATTCATCAATTATTAGTACGTCTATGCCTGCATCTTCATCAGGTTCCCATTCCATCAAAGGTGGCTGTGTTTTGGTAATTAAAGATTTGGATGCTGAAGTAGGTAGGATTTTGTCTACTGCAGCAAAAGTAGTTGTGGCTATGCCACTTATCACTGTTGGTTTACTTGTTGCAGGGGCAGAAAATAAAACAGACTCTGTTCCTAGGATGTCTTCTGTTGTTCCGGAACCTTCTGGGCTATGAGTCGTGACAGCCTTTGCTTTTCCCATATCAGTAGATTCTTCAGGGACATGCGTAACAGCTTTTGTAGAAAAGGTTTCTTTAAATTTGATTGTGGGGACTCCATCTTCACTCTCCGGGCTCGGCTTTGTGGGCAACACCATACTAGTAGTTAGCTTTTGTGCAGTGACAACATCCATTCCAGGAAACTTTGTGCTGGTTTCATATGTAGCTATTTTCATAATTGGACCCAAAGCTTCTGTAACTGCGTATTTCTCTTCATATGCAGATCCTTCAGCAGTCTGGTCATGTTCAGGTGTCAGAGAAAACTTTGTTGCCCCTGCTGCAGAGTCTGAGACAGTAGCTGGTTTCTCCGTATCTTGATCTCGACTACTGGGTTCTGTTTGAATGATAGATGTAGCATTCTTATCTAAGAATAGCTTGGGCTCTTTCACTACCTTTAATTCTGGATCAGTGCTGGAAGTTTCCAGCCATTCATCAGGCATCACAGCCCCATTGTCATCAGTGAGCTCCTCTTTGGGAATGAGAACTGTTGTGAGTTTTGTGTCACTTTTTACTTCCATTGATTGTTTTGTGGGCTTGATGGCAAGATGTGTTCCTTCTTTTGTTGGTGTAACAGAAGTTCCTGTTTCCACAGGTTGACTAAAGTTGCTTTTCAGTAGAGCATCTACAGAAGTTCTTATTGGTGCCACCTCTATTTGTTCAGTCTGACTTTCAGAAATTTCTTCACTGTGGTCAAAGACACTTTCTGTAGGTGTGACTATTACTAGGTCATTCAGTACAGTATCTGATTCTCTCAATTTTGATGAATCAGAAAATTCTGCAACAGTCTGAGGTAGAATAGTGGGTAAAGTAATTATTTCAGGTACCTTCTCTTTCTGTTTTGCTTTAGTCACTCCTGGTGCGACTGAAGAGATGTGGGGATGAAATGCATCTTTAGGGGGTATTATCTTCAGTTCAGTTAATAAGTTAGACGATCCATTTTCCACAGATATATTTAGTTCAACAGATGTAGCATCAGACACATTCTTATCTAAAGAAAACAATAATCATAAAAAGAATGAGAAAACAGACACTTGAAGCATTTGTTTGCTTCAAACAAATCTAGAATTTTTTTTAGAAAGAAATACTGAACTGCTCTCCTTCATCTGCACTATGTGAACTGTAGCTCCCTCATGTATTCGCTGAGAATGCTTTCAAGAGAGTAGGTGTAATTAAGCTGGCTAAGTCCCATTAACTTCCACTGATATAATTTGTTTTAAATGAGTTGTGGATTAGACTTTTAATTGCTATTTTCCCCATAAGACACCAAAACTCCCCATTTAAAAAAAAATCCATATGTCATATGGAACAGGAAGTTGCAATAACACAATGCATTGAAATGTATGATTTAAAAAAAATAAGAGTTCACCACAATTTGAAGATTGCCTATTATTGTTTTTGAAAATTCTAATAATTTAAGGCCTGGAGAAATGTTGTCCATGGGGTCGCAATGGGTCAGACACAACTTCATGACTAACAACAACAAATAATTTAAGAAAGCGTTTGCCAATCTGAGATTTCACACTTCATATGCATTATAGTATAAACTCCAAAAGAAAACGTGTGCCTGAATGGAACCTGGAACATAAAAACAACAACCCAAAGTTCCAATGTTAATCCCAGGTTTAGCTTTCCAAATAATATTCAGTTAGCATAGAAGTTATGTCCAACTAGTTGGCCAGAGCTCAGGATGATTTTCGGATGATTTTTGCCAATCTTTAAGATTTTAATCCTGGATTATTTCACTCTCATTAGACATTGCTTTATCACCTGCATGGATGAAAAGATATGGATTTCAAGTCCATGACCTCAGCTAGAAGAAGGGATTTATGTTAAAGCTGTTTCTTCTCAAAGAAGACATCCACTACAATTTCATCTGCCTTATGCCTAAAGAGATGACCCACCCAGAGATGGTTCTGTGGTTTTTTAAAGGCTCTTTCCAGCATTAACCAACTCCCTCTCTGTACAGATGTTTTGCATTACTAAACTCCTTGAATCATGTGTTCAATGGGAAATCTTCTTTGTGCTCCTTCTGATGCAAGACATGAGGCAGTTTTTCCTAATAAAATATCCACATCTAAAACAGCAAGAAAGCAAATTATCTCACCGACAGCTGCTTACATCAAAGTCTCTCCTACATTCTAAAAAATGTGCTCTTTTACATTATGCACAACCTGAATGAAGTTGATTTGGGATGAAGTCTTTTGGAATTGGAAAAGTTTTCCATTATTTTAAATCCTTCACATTTTAATAGCTTTTCACTCAAACAAACTTTCTTTTTTATTCGATACCCTTTTCAAAAATTTAACCAAGTAATGTTAAGAACAATGTTTTAATTTTCCTGAAATGTTCATTGTGAAGTTAGAGAATGCAATCCTTAAACGCATAGATCACAAATGGTGTAGGTAATATCCTACACGGAGTACAATGATTATGAATTAAACTAGAGAAAGTTCATCACATATGACACAGAAAGGTTGTGGCTTACAAAACAACAATGGCAAAGAAGCTGCTATCCTGGTGCCTGCTATCACTGCATGCAGTTGCTTGTTTTGTGAATCAGCAGCATTGAGGCACTGCACCAGGATGGCTCCCCAGTGGGGAGCCATTTAAAAATGCATAGCAGTCCAAAATTTGGCTTCATAACCCCTTTTCCATCCCCATGCAAAAATCTACAAGAGATTGAAATATGTAAAATGTTTTGCAAGATCATACTTCCTAAAACTTTCAAGATGCTGAATGCATATTGTCAGGAACCCAGATTGAAGTTGAACAATTTCTGTGATCTAGAGTTTGGCTGAGGACTGAAACAGTTACATTTTTCCTCTTCTCATACTTCCCTCTGTTTTTCATTTAAATGGTGGGAGCTTTACAAATTGACCTGGAGTAGCCTCTCACCAGAGCAGTATTAGAGAGGAATTGGAACCTGCAGCTCTTCTGCTCCATGGTCAGTCTATCTTTTATAAAGAGTTTCAGTGACTGTATCCAGATGTATTGATACATTTTGGTTTTTGTTAGAGGAGCAAGTCTTAGCTGAGCTTTGGTCTCAAGTGTCCCCTCATCCTTTGCCCTTCTGTGACACAGACACATAGAGGTGATGGAAGTTTTTGTTCCCATTTATGATTAACCACAGTTTAACCTTTTTCTGAACTCTAGTCAATCTTCTTATAGTTTATTGAAACAAGCTGGTTTGAGAAACCAGTTTTTGAAGTTGGCTTGTTTCAGTAAACCAGAGCAAAAACATAACCCAAAGTACTGGATGCGTTGAAAAGAGAAGCAAAGTCTTTGCTTTCCTACTTGACCCTGAACCAGAGGAGGAGATGGAAAGGACTGCAAGAGTCTGAAGCAACTTCATGAGTCTGCGTTCATAGTCATATTACAAAGAGGCCAGAAAAAGACATGTTTGCAGTGATTTTCAATTAAGCATTTAGATATACACATATAACTAACTCCGTGTTACAATCTTTAAACATGGAGAAACTATTTGTTAATGAGTCCCGTTATGTATCTGCCTATTTAAAGGGGGGGGGGGGGAATGGATCAAGATACTTATGAATACTTCCATATAGACAGGCCTGTGACTGTGAAACAAGATGTGCAGGAATAATGCTGCTTTGCATGTCAGTACCATTTGAGATTAAGTTGGCTTATACTAGAAATGCAGGCATATGTTTTGTTTTTAAATGATGGCTACCTGCATTCCCATGATCATCCTTTGGATGATCTGGGAAGCAACTAAAACTGAGCCAGACCGGTGGTCCATGTAGCTTAGCACGGTGACAGCTCTTTAAGATTTCAAGCGGGGATCTTTCTCAGCTGTAACTTGAGAAGCTGGTCATGGATCCTGAAACCTTCTGCAAGCTGCCACTAACCCAAGTACCTCCACTGAATGATCTTTAGCTCACCAGGCTTGCAAGGACTGTGTGTTTTGTTTTAATATGAGATGAACTAATGCTAGTGGTTATATATTGTATATTTTGTTTAATAAATGAATGTTTCATGAAGTTTTATTATAAGCTTCTAGTAAGCAACGGAGGTCTCCTATGCCTGAAAACCAATCTTAAAAACCCTCAGTCAATAAGCAAGCAAGCAAGCGGCAATAGTTTTATGTACTTCATCCAAAGTTTGCATATTCAGTGGACAGACTGCTGTTGACTTCAGAGGGTTAGGTTTTAAGAAAGACAAGAGAAATGTTCCAAAATGCTCTTATGTTGAATTATGAAACCAGGATCCTCTAGGAACAAATTGTTTTTGGCTAAACAATGATTTAATCTATTACAGCTAAGAAGAATCCATGTTCATTCAAAGTTCCTATTTACCTTTTTTTTTTTTTTTTTTGCAATGCTTTCTCTTTCACCAAAGAAAAGTCTTTGTTTTTGGATGCACAAAAGATTTTTTAAATCAACATTTGAGATTCAGCACAAGCATCCCAAATGTGTGGCCTCTTGAAATTAATTTAGCAATATATGAATAGGAGGTCAACCTTTAATATTATCAGGAAAGGATGACAAAGGAATCTGTAAAATTTCAGAAACCCTCCAAAAGGCCCCTGCCTCATTTGAATTATGCCAGGTCATTATAAAATCTAAAGTCCTCTTGGTCATGCCAGTTTTCCCCCAGCCCTTCCTAGTAGTGTTCTGGCAGCAAATTGAAACCTTTCTGTATCAGAGAGCTTGTACATGATTTATTCTGTTTCAACTAAAGTCTTTTATTCATTATTTTTGTTGCTTTTTTATATCTGGCATGTCAAACTGTACGTTTGTGTGTGCACACTTGGTGTTTTATTGCATTTTATTATAAGCTATTCAGAAAGAGTTGCTGTGGAACAGAATGCAAATTCAGTAAAGAAACAAATAAGTAACATTGGAAGTGAGAATCTATTCATCTTCTTTAGGAGCCATGAACGCATCTGGAGTTCATATATCTCTGCACAGAAAAGATGTGTGACTTCCCACAGGAAGTACGAGAAATATGCATAGAAAGCATTTGTGCTTATTTGTTACTACTAGCTTGCAAAAATCAGAAATGGCTCTGACTCTCTTTGGGTATACTGCTTACTGGCAGGTACCCACGGTTAACAAAAGAGGATAGATAATGCAATCACACGCTGCTTGTTGAATTTATCTGAGACATTCTTTCTGGCCACAGTGACAAAGAATGCCATCAGCCCAGAAAAACAGTTGTCCCCTGCCCTGCATTCTAAGACCAAAATGACAGTTTAGAGAAGCAGCGGTCACAGTTCTTAGATAATATTGGAAGGCCGGAGGATTGCATCCTAAATGAGATAGCGAACTAAATGAGTGTTCTGACTTTAGCTATGTTCTACTTCACAGAAGATAGCTCTGTATTTGAAGAGCTGTCAGAGGACAGAAGTGTCCTTGACTGGAAGGCCTGTCTTGGCCTTCAATTTATAGATATAGTAGGTGCTCCAGGTTTGGGGTGGGTGCATTTGGACCTTCAGTATGAATTCCCAAATGAATTCCCCTCCTCAGTTCTTTTCCACTGCATCTCTACCTGTTTTTTCTTTCTTTCCTGGAACCAATTTGTACCATTGCCCAGAAGGCAAATGCAAGGCAAGGGAAGAAAGATACTCAACTTCCTTGTTTGTATCATTGCTTGCATGGTCTAGGGTGGCAGGTGAACAGAAAATGACAGCCTGGAGGAGCTGCAGGAGGGTAAGGAGGACCTTGACATGGGCCTTTTGCAGAGGTATAGACTTTGGCCGGTCCTAACAATGCCTACCCAAACACCGGCCCTGTAAAGAACCCTAAGGAGGGAGAGCAGGGACCTTGAAGGTACCCATCAACAATTATCACTGTCACAAAAGATGGAGCTGCTGATGGTGAATCTGATTACAGCTTTTGCCATAATAGGGACATGCCCTGTATTTCTAAACTTTCATCTATATGTATATATTATCATATACAATGTAATGTAATGTCAATCTGTATTTTCTTTTATCTTCTTTTTGGTGATAAATTTTGTCTTTCT